CCCCGCCGCGGCAGCTGTAGCCGTTCGGCATCTCCCTTTCTGCTGGGGGGGAGGAGTTGGTGCTTGATCCGTTCTAGGGATGTGACCGACCAGTCGACTGTCCGATCAACAAAGGCGACAGGCTCGTCGATTCCTCCCCCCGCCCCCTTGCGGCCTCGATCAGAGAAAGGCAGCGGGGGTGCGGAAGATCGGGGGTGCTTCAAAGCAGCAGCACCACATGGAGCCAGGGTCAGTTGGGGACTTTCCCACTGCCCCCGGGCTCCATGCGGTGCTGCCACTTTGAAACGCCGCGGGGAGCATGGGGCCAGCGGGGGCTGCTTGAGTCCCCGTGCTCCCCTGGGGTTGTTGCTACGCTTCAAAGGCGGAGGGGCCCTTATCGATTAATCGAATAGTCGATGCAAATTGCCAGTTAACCGAAATTTTACATCCCTGATCCATTCGCTGCTTTGTTGCCTGCCGTTTAACTGTCTGGCAAAGCATTTCTTTTGTCAGTGTCGCTTGAGGCGCCTTCCACGTTTCGAAGCATCAGCAACGAGGCAGCATCCCCTCTCTGTGGCTAATGGATTTCAGTGTCCGGGGCATATCCCTTCACCCCTCTTTAATCCGACGGGTAGACTTTGGATGAGATGCTTCCATCTATTTCATCACAGTTTTCTTCACAAAGTTTCATGAGACTAGGCCGGGGCTTAATTGATCCTTCAAAACAATCCGCCACAGAATTCCACTGGCCGTTTTGAGGGCGAATTAGTTTGGAGCCTCTGGCTCTCTTCAGTGAAGCTGAAGCCAAACGGTTGTTGCAGAAATATTTTGGGACTTGAACAGCATTTTCTTTGATTCCCGCAGAAGACGTGCTTTAGTCTCTGGCTCAAAGGTGCATGAAATGGGCCCTGTGGCCGTGTCATTAAGGAGCATCGCTTTGTCTGCCAAGTGTTTTCTCATCTTCACAGCGGTGGCTGTGACAAAACGGCGCCCGTGGAAATTGGATTTTTGTTCAGTTTAATTCAGCTTTCACTGCCACGTCTTTTAAATAGTCTGTGTGGGCTTTTCCCGCTTGTATCGATCGGTTCTGGCAGAGATGCAGCCCCATCGTCTGATGCCACCCAGGCACACACCCCTAGATCATGGTGTACGTGGCTCTACCCGCCACGGCTTAAACTGGCAAACTTCCCTCCATGTTTATCGCTCGCTGTTCCAGTCCCTTGCACACAGGGTCTCGCGACCTTCCACCGCTGTCTGCTCTCCCAGGTGGAGTGTGGCCTGCTCATAAGGACTTGGCCGTGTCAGCGAAATGTTTGTTATTAACAATGCGAAAAGGCGGATTTGTGTCAGGAATGCACCGAGCAATCGTCTCCGTTGGGTGTTTTGTGGGTATTTGTCGGTTGTTACGACAGACTCACCCATGGGTGTGGTTTTCCTGGCTGACTGAAATCTTTTGCTTGCGACGGATGCTTTGGCGTCTGAAATACGCTCAGTTACAGCGCTGCTGCTAAACGTACCAAGGGATGATTCTGAAGTTGTTGCAGATAGAAAGTTGCTTATGCCTGAAAACAAAATCAAAACCTGATTGACAGCCCAGTCGTTCTTCTCACTCTGAGTCAGTTAATAGTTGCTGAAAAAAATATAAACAATGCAGATCCGATTCCAAAAAAGCTCAGACTGGCAGCGCTTAGAGGGCACTTACTGCAGAAGTAAGCCCCACTGAACTCACTGGCATGTCTGATTTTTGCGAAAACAAGTATAGCCTGGGTTTCCCTGGGGAAAGCGGAGTTCTGCTGCAGTAAAATAAGGAACAGACTTATGGCGTCACCCGTTTGGCCTGTGGACATGATGTTCCCAATAAGAGGCCTGTGTTATGTAATACAACATAAGAAAACGACGCTCATGGCAACGGGCAACTCTCGATTTGTCTCTTACTGCAGCTTTCTTGGGTGACTGCGTCCAACCCAGGTTTAACTAATTCAACAAGCCGGAAGGGCTAGTGTAGCTAAACTTTGCTTTTCCTTGCAACACCCAGCACAGCAAACAGCGTGGGAGCTGATTTCACTCTCACTTGCACTAAGAGGCAGCGGGAGAGTCTCGAGGAACGGTGTGTGGCCACGTGAATTATTTAAGTTACTAACCAGTCGATCCGCATTGTTCTTCCGCCACCTCGTTTTCTCCCTTCTGACGACGAATCGTCCTGCGGGGCCCTGCAGCTGCGCTGCTGACACTTGACACGTTTTCCTTTTTCACCCAGGAAGGGAATTTCTTCAGAATGCTCCCGCTCGGGTCTCGTGCACCCAGCAGGCTTTTTCTAGAGGAAGCTGTGTGCGCTGAGTGACGTCTTCCCTTTTGCTTCCCGGTCCACCCACGGTTCCTTTCTGTGCTGCCTCCGTCCTCTCCTGTGCGCCGTCTCGCTGTCTTCAGACGATGCCTGAACCAACTCTGCCGAGCTTGGCCCAGGCGTGAAATAGTCGGAAGCTACTCGCCAGTTTCTTCCGGTTCTGGTACCGTGCATCAGGACTGCCCCTGGCGCAGTGGGGCCCGTCTCCGCTGGGGCCGTCCGGCCTGACCACGACCCTAAAGGATAAGGGGACTCCTGGGAACCCCAGCCCTTTCCGGCTGAGTTTGAATTTCCGACGGGTTCATTTGATTTGTGTTGAGCACCAAGCACCCGTCTCTTGGAAAGCAGCGCCGTGAAGTGCTGGCAAGCGCCCGGCGCCGAGGCCGCCTGCGGAGAGTTATTAGCTCCCGGAAGTCTATAAAAGATGATAAAGAAATCCACCCGGGAAAGCAGGCAGCTGGCCCAGGGCATCCAAGGCCTCGTCACTTTAATAATCCCCATTTCGTGCTCCTCCGAGGGTTAGGAAGCACCCGTCTCTTGGAAAGCAGCGCCGTGAAGTGCTGGCAAGCGCCCGGCGCCGAGGCCGCCTGCGGAGAGTTATTAGCTCCCGGAAGTCTATAAAAGATGATAAAGAAATCCACCCGGGAAAGCAGGCAGCTGGCCCAGGGCATCCAAGGCCTCGTCACTTTAATAATCCCCATTTCGTGCTCCTCCGAGGGTTAGGCCGGAGGACGCTCCCTGTCCGTACAGGGTGTGAACGCTGGGACAGGGGGGCCTCGCGGGAATGCTGGGCCCTGAGTCCCTGGCTCTGTCCCCGCTGCTCACTATGCAAACCTGGGGCCCCGGGCCCTGCCCTGGCTGAGCCACGTTCTGACAGTCGGGCTGCTGGGGAAATCGGGGCCCACGGTGGTTCGCGCCAACGTGGGGAGCAGGAAGCCGGGGCTGGGTCCCACATGGAGCTCGAATTGCCACGCCACCGCTGGACAGCAAAGCGTGTGCAGCCTTTGGCCTCCCCCCCGGAGGGCCCGCGGGGCGCCACCCGTGTCCGTGGGGTCCCCGCCTGGCCGATGGGGTGCCTGGCCCGGGGAAGCCTTGGCTCTAAGGAGCGGGCTGCCGGCAGCAGCCTTCGCCAGAGGTCTGATGGGTGGCGGGAGCCCCAGGGGGATGCTGCCTTCTAAGCGCCCCGCGGGCGTAAAGCCACCGGTGGCTTCTCTCACCTCGGGCCGGGCAGCGGAGCCCCCCCCGCTGACTTCCCGGCGCAGCTTCCTTGCGCGTGCCCCCGGCCGGGCGAGCGCTCGGCTCTGCATCGTGGGGACTTGCTGGTGCCTGGCACTGAGGTCGCACTCGGAGCCATTGGCTGTCCCGCTGTGCTAGTCACCGGACCCCCCCCGGGTACACAGTGAGGGTCCCGCTGCCCCTCTGCAGAGCCCCGGCTTGCCTTGTAGAGCTGGGCAGGCCAGGGGGAGGGCACCTGGCTTGCAGCTGCCAGGGAGCTGGCCAGTTGTCTGTCCCCTGGGCCAGCCCGCCAGGCTATGAGCTCATTCCTTGGGAGCCAGGCCTGCCTCCTCTGAGCCCAGCCGGGGGCCGAGAGCAGCTGGCAGGCCCCGGCCCGGCAGGGAAGGGCTCGCGGAACAATAAAGCGGCTCCCGCGATAAGGAAACCAGATGGTGGCTGGCGAGCTCGCGCGGGGGAGGGGCATTGTTCTCGCAGGAAGCGCAAACTCTCTGGGCTCCTGGGCCTGGCTCTCGGCATGGTGCAGCGTGCGCGTCTGCCCGGCGCTGTCCTCAGGGCTGGCAGCCGGGGCGCACTTTGCCCAGCTTGGCCTCGCTTTCCCCTTCAGCTCAGCTCGCCGGTGCTTGGCAGGCTGGGGTACGTGGCCTGGGGCTGCTGGGCCCGGGGCGGGGCGGTGTACCCCAACGTGCCCCGCGGCGCCCGGGCGCACTGTGGTCCCCGATGGGGCTGGCGTCTCTGGGTCCGGCAGGTGGCACGGGGCTGGCTCAGACCACAGGAGCGTGGCCTGACCCTTCCAGCACAGCTCAGGCTGAACCCTTCTCTGCCCCGCCAGTGGGCGACAGCCGCCTGGCTGGGGCGGGGAATAGCCAGTGGGTGCCCCTCCCGTTGGCCGGCATGGGGCTGGGGAGCTGCTCCCTGCGGGGTCCGTCTGCCCTCTCCTGTGCTTGGGGGCAGGACGCGGCTCTCGGCGGGGGGGCTGCCCCGAATCCCTGTGGAAGTGGAGGTGAGTCACTTTCCCTTTGGATCAGCCCCTTCGGGAGGCGCAAGCTGGGGCCTTGGGAGTAAAGATCCCGAGCGCCCGTGCTCCAGCGGCTCCAGAAATCGGCAGTGG